AGAGTACTCAAAAGAAATGGATTGCGTTCAAGAGTAAAGCAAAAGAAGCCTTTATTATCTAAAAAGCATCACAAATCCCGGTTGACTTTTGCTAAAAAATATCAACATTGGACAGTAGAAGATTGAAAAAAAGTTGTCTGGTCCGATGAGTCAAAATTTCAGATTTTTGGATCAGATGGCAGGAGTTATTGTTGAAAAAAGCCTGATGAACAACTCCAAAGCCGACATATCAAACCTACTGTAAAATTTGGTGAAGGGAGTATTTTTGTGTGGAGATGTTTTACTCATTTAGGGGTTGGGTATCTCTATCGAATAGAGGGAGGACTTAATGGAGAACTTTATCGTCAAATCTTAGAAGAAGATTTCTTACAAACATTAGAATATTACAATTTAAATCCCCAAACTATTATATTTCAACAAGATAATGATCCTAAACATACAGCAAAACTTACTCAAAAATGGTTTGTAGATAATAATATTAAAGGTTTTTTCTAGCCTCCACAATCTCCAGATCTCAATCCAATTGAACATTTATGGAACAATGTGGATCAACGACTTAGAAATCTGAATATTGAAATCAGAAATAAAGAAGCTCTTTGGGAATGTATTGAAAATATTTGGAATGAAACCTCTTTAGAATTATGTACAAAGTTGATTAATACAATGTCAGAGAGAATTAGCGATGTTTTGAAAGCAAAGGGTAGGTATACAAGATGGTAAAAATAATAATTTATTTTTTTAGTTTTTTAATTATTAAAATAGATTCCAAATAAAATAATTGGAGTAATAAAACTGTAAGAATAAAAAGTTATTTTATCCCTATTAGAATTAGACTCTTTTAGTTCTTGTTTAATAAAATCCTCATTTTTTAAATCACTAATTTCATTTTTTACAAAATATACATTCTTTTTAGTAGACAAATATTTTTTATTACATGAATATTCAGGAAGGATAAAAATTTTATCTGATCCATAATTATTATAAATAAGCTCAGAAGCTTCTTTGCTCACATTACCAGGATCTAAAGTAAAAATTCAAATATCAAAATCAAGACGTATAGTCATTGCTCTTTCTCAGTAATTGGCAATTCTTTGATTATCACCATTTATAAAAAGCATTCACTAAATCTTTTAAAACTTTCCACAAATTTATCTATTCTAACTTTGTTAAACATAGATGGAAGATTTTGTTTTCTTTTAATTCAAGAAGCGATTTCAAAAACTATTTCTTCAATTAGATTTTTTTCTTTTAAACATCTTAATAAATCTGCTGCAATAGTAGTAAAAGGTCTATTTTTTAGATAATCTCAGTCTCCTATATATTTTTTTTCTAGTTTTGAACATTCTTGTTCATATAATTTTTTATCTGTAATAGTTTTTCTTAATTCTTTTCGCTTCTTTTGATAATTTTCAAATTTCTTGATAGATTCTTTAATCATTTGTTTGTTTGCATCATCAGCTTCTTGAACACCATCTTCATTTTTGTAATCTCTTTTTTCTCAAAAAATCTCATGATATTTTTTAAAAGGGATGTCTTTTTTAGAAATTCCGTAAATAACTGATGATTTCATAGGTCGTATAACATCATTAATATTACAAATGATTTTTAATTTTCTGCCTTTTTGCTGACTAATTTTTTTGATTAAGGAATATAGGGAGTTAGTCATAATACTTATTCTTTATTATTTATTTTTATTATTATTTAGCGTTTAGCTTTTTTTGTTTAAATGTATATACAGTATTATATACAAATATTAATATGCAATTCTTTCTACATTCAGATTAACTCTTTGCTTATTTTTTTATAATATCAAATTATAATCAAAGTAAACTAATCATGTACAGCATCTCTTATTAATTTGAGGATATGATGAGTCATCTTTCAAATCACAGACTTGTTGTATGAGAATAGATGTAATATAACCAACAATTTTCTTTGCTTGTTCCATATTTTCACTATCAAATTCATATTGATGTGGACTAGACACTTCTACTATTGGATCCTCTGGAGAGCCAGCCCATCGAATAAATACCATTGTAATGCATTCGTCACAATTCTATATATAAAAATTGGAATATTACCATCATCATCATTTATTTCATCTATTCTACGCTTTCTTGTTAATGCCTATAAAAAAAATTATTAGTTTCACATGATAATAAAAAAAAATAATAATATTTTGACCTCTATAGCACTGCATATTTACATAATATTCTGGGCAGCTCCTTTCTCGAAATCTTCTTTCTTAACTTCTGCAACTAATGCAATTATACTCTCAACGTAAACAGCATAGTCAGTGGGTCCATAGCTGTAGGTTCTATCAAGCCACTCTTCAGTTTTGAGCTTAAGTCTTTCTTCTATTGATTGAACATGTTTTACAGCTGTAGTCATAAAAGCAGAAATAAACTCTCGGCAAGTTGATTCATTACGAACAACAGATTTGAAAGTACATCTCTTTTTCTCAAGTTCATCAATAAGTAATTTGAACTCCTCTCTAGTAATTGAAGGATCTGAGTCTTGAAGCTCATTTGCAATACAAAAAATCATATGAGAAACCATAAACCACAGCATCAAATTATGGCCACTCAAATAAAAAAATATACCTATTTTAAATTTACAAACATCTGCTATGAAAGATCCCTCTTGATGCAAAAATTTCTTGAGAATTTCACCTATTTCCTAGTCACCATATGCTTTCTTACCTATAAAGGAAAGAAAATATAGTAAATGAGAATTTATATACAATAACTGCTATATTTAGTATAATTCAATGATTTATACCTCTAATTCAAATAGAAAGACTGATTGCGCGTTCATCACTGCCTTCTGAAGGTGTAATTTTTCATACTACTTTATTAAGCGCAAATTCGTTCTTGATCTCTATCTCTTCGCTTTTCTTTTTATCTTGACTATACACAAAAAAATATTGGGAGTTCACTGAATTCAGGGTTTCCCATTTCTTTTTAACTTCGTTACATATAAGGTACTAAAGACCATTATTGTGTAGATAAATTTCTTTGAACCATGATGTGGATAAATTTCAGCGAATAACTACAAATAGAAGAAAAACATGAATATGAGACATATACTGTAGATGTAACAAAATACTTTGAAAATATTTACCTTGAAAGTCAGATAAGGGATAATGCATAACAAGAGAATTTGTACCAGTTGTATTCAAGGTATTAATAAGGATATCCAGAGGAAGAAGCGTGATATGGTCACCGTATCTAAAGAAATCGAGTTTGCTTAGTTGAACATTTTTAAGGGTTTCTATTGCACAAAGTTGAGGGCTGATATCATTTAAGTCAATTTCGTCAAGTTCTGGATTTCCCCTTGCAACACAAAATTTTTTAGCTCTTGGCTCATTCTCAATATGAATCCATAGCCTTGCCATTCTGTAAAGAAAACTAAGAAGTCCTTGGTAAAAAGTTTCTTGTGACTGTTCAGCCTGTTCACGCACTAATACTAAAGATGATTCCATTTTTATAGAAATACAGCACAAATATAGGAAGAATTAACAATTTATTTTTACAGGAAGATAGCAATTTATAAATCATAGGAGGACTTTCACGTGATTAGCCGATCATTTTAATTGAATTTATACAGTTTAAAGTACTTTTTAAGATTTTGATAATCTACATGAAAAAAAAAAAAATTTATTTCTAGCTCTGAATTAACTTTAAAATTCACTGTGTAAAAGAATCTCAAAAGAATCTGAAATCTAGAGGTACTTTACTTAAGAAGCAAATATGCCTATTACTGGACCATGTGTAATTACTATATGCTGGCAAAAATCAACTAACTGGAAAAGGGTAACTGAATATATTCTTGCTAAAGGTCAAACTAACAATACTTTACCAAATTATGTACAAGAAAATGATGTAATTTGCTTGAATTGTTATAATGAAATTGTAATAAGAAGCTCGCTTGAATTTTAACAACATGCTCAAAATAATGAATTTTAACATACCCAAGCCAAGAATTGTAAATTTAATGAGACTGAAAGTACTAATGCTATTTTATCATTTTCTAAAGCAATAGAAGTGCTAACAAATATTTTATATGCTTAAGAGAATAAAGAAAAATAGCTAACTTTATATTCTTTTGATGAATTTCGAAAAATTATAAAAGCAAAGAACATAAGATTAAAAAATTTTTTTAATGAATTATATTTCTCATCTAATCCATCTTCTAAAAATAAAGATTTACAGGCTCGAGTAAAAAAGAAACTATTATTTGTATGTTATTTCCTTTGTGATATTCTGAAATAAATTCGTTAATGACGTAAAGAAAGATTTAACCATGTATTTAGATTCTACAAATGCTTCTAACGCTTCTATAGATACCCTTTCTGATCTAGGTGTAACTACATCATCGCGCACAGTCTTTCAGTATAAGACAACTATATCTGAAGAACATGCTAAGTCAGTTAATTCTACACTTGCCAAATGTGTAAAGAATGCAATGATACTAAATATAGGTGACTACCACAGCATTCATACAAAATGGATGCTAAATACAACTACCATATCAACTGCTATGCATCTAGCAACAATCTTAATAAATCCAATTATGATGCAGCCTGCAATTTCAAAAACGAATATCCATAATCCTGTACTGGTTGATGCTGAATTGATTAAGGCTAATATGAAAATAGATTTATGAAGTTTTATGGCTTTTCGCATAACTGACGTTGAGACTTCATATAGTTGATAATGATACAAGACTGGAAGAGTTAAATATACATGGTTATGATATTAGGTTAAAGGAGAAATGAAATTCTCGTTCAATGAAGGATGTCATTCTTATAGATTTATAGGAGAATGACCTTCATTCTTTGGATGCATACATCAAAGCCATTAATATTGTTGTAGATATCCTATCTATTCAGCAGTATATTTAGTAAGGACATATTATCCTATTGTTGCTGATTGGCCTGAATAAATCTACCTTAAAACAGCTATTTCATGCTACTTATATTATTGTGATTCATTGAATATTACTAATAACATTTTGTTTTTTTTTCCTATGATAGGTCCTTTGCATATTTCATTGAACAGCTGAGAATTAATTTTCCTCTAATACCAGCCTTTTTTTAGCTATGTATACGTATATCTTTGGAGGAAATAAATCTCTTGCACAAAATCCTAAGCCATGGCAGATCAATCTTCTTTTAGAGGTATCTCGCAGTATTTGGCAGGAAATTTCTATTGCCATCGAAACAAAATTTAGACCTTTGTGTAAGAATGCTAAATATCTTGCACTCAAAGACCTTCTTGATAATATGATTCCACTTGTATTAGATATTTATGCTGTATTTTTCCATTCAGATGATTTTAATGCTTATTTAGAAGCTTACTTTTGTGTCTGAACAATATTTTTTAAATTCTATCGCAGAAACTATACCAAGGTTCCATTGATGTTTCTTTCTGATATCTTCTACTGGAAATTAAACAATCATCTAATACTAGAAACAATTAAGGCTTAACTTTCAAAGTTTTCAGATTCAACTGTAGAAATCTTTCACAGCTTTCTACGTAGAAGTACGTAAAAGTATACAGAAGCAAAACAAATCATTAAATATAGATATTATATTAATCAGTTGTATTTGGATAATAACAGATTTAGAAAGAATTTTGCACACACGTCTACATAGGCGGATTATGAGTATTCTGCTCAAAATATAACATTTTTAACAAAAAAAATGCTTATTTTCTTTTGCAACGTTTTTCAGAAATTTTTACGCGTTTATTTCACCACAAATTTCTAATATTATCTTCATTACAGATAAATTCATCTCTAAAGAAGAAAGGAAAGAAAAGCAAGAAAAATCCTGATATCGTTCTATTAATTGTAATGAAAATGCCAAAAGCACAATTACGTCATCTTTCTTTGGGTTTTAGCACCGTATAGAAGCTAGATCAGTTTCATTACTGTGATGCATCTAACTGTGTATTTTTCTCATCTATTAATCCAGATGATCCTATTGAAATTCTAGCTTGTGATCATACATATTATAAATCCTGTATAGCGATATTAGATTTAAATGCTTGTATTGTTTATCAAACTTATGTAATAGCGTTGATGAGCATGTTCATTCCTTATTAGAATCTTTGAAAAGTTTAAATAAAAAACGGAAATGGGATGTAGAACCAGAGGATAATATTTTCGATAATGATGATGATGGTATAAGCAAACTGGTAAATTATGTAACATATGCATTGGAAGAGGCTTTACGAAAATTTCAACAGCAATAAAAAATTTTTATGATTTTTTTTTTAAAATATTATATAAAATCAATAAATTAAACTAATTTATTTGATTTTTAAAGATTTTAGTTTAATATACATATAAATGCTAATAGTTAAATAAAATAGTTTATTTTATTAAAGTCACGTGATATGTATAAATATTTACAATACTAATTACAAATTCGTATAACATAATCAGCCAATCATATGAAAGTCCTCCTATGAAAAAGTTACACAAAAGAATAAATCAATCACTAAAATTGCGGAATGCATAGATTCAGTAATTGTATTTTGCTATAATTTTTACTACTAATGTAAAGATTATTATTTTAACGATTTTTATAAACATTTTTACTTTATAAAACAAGATCTATATGTTTTTTTTAAGAATTTAACAGTATTTTTTTTACAAATTTTATATGAAGATTTTAGTGTAATTTCAGAGTGAAATTTAGGCCTTTTAGTTAAAGTGAATTGCCTTAGGTAAAGTTGTTCAGCAGGTCCAATTACCGTATTCTCCTGATTTTAAACACCACCCCGACTTTGGGTGAAAAAGTCCAAAAAACAAAAATAAGCACCACCCACATTTAAATAAAAAAAAATATATAACATTTAAAAATTCAAAATTAAAATTTTATTAAAATCATTCTAAAAAAAACTTTCTATTCATCT